CAGCTTAATTGACTAAGTCATGCAGGTGCCCCTGTAGTTCTGAAGTCTTATATATCTTTTGTTAAATGTATTGCTAAATATTTGGTTTTGTTGCTATTGTAAATGAAATTTAATTTTTTTTATTTTCCAGTAGTTTGTTGCTAGTATTGAGAAATTGTGATTTGTGTATTGATCTTGCATCCTGTGACCTTTATAAATTAATTTGTTAGTCTCAGTAATTGTCTTATAGATTCATTTGGATTTTTTTTTTTATGTACACAGCATGTTATTTTTTTTTCTTATGGATTCGCAATACAGTGGGCTTTATCTGAAGAACTCTCCTTTTATTCCTGTTTTGCTTAGAATGTTTTTTATGAAGAGGTGTTGAATTTTGTTTGTGGCTTTTTTTTTTTAATTTTTATTTATTTTTGAGAGAGAGAGATACAGATATGAGTGAGGGAGGAACAGAGTGAGGGAGACACAGAATCTGAAGCAGGCTCCAGGCTCTGAGCTGTCAGCACAGAGCCTGATGTAGGGCTCGAACTCATGAACCATGAGATCACAACCTGAGGTGAAGTCGGATGCTTAACCAACTGAACCACCCAGGTGCCCCGAGGTGTTGCATTTTGTTAGATGCTTTTTGGTTTATCTGTTGAGATGAATAAACCATTTTTTTCCTACCTTTTTTCTAAAATGTGCTGATGCATTGATACTTCAATGTCACACCAACCTTGCATTCCTGGGATAAATTGCACTTGGGCATTATGCATTATACTTTATATTATTGGGTTTAATTGCTAATATTTTATTGAAGGCTTTATGTCTTATGAGGGCTATTGATCATTTTTGTTTTGAATATTGTCACCAACTTTTAGTATCAAGGTTACTGTAGCTTCATAAAATCATTTAAGAAATAATTTCTCTTTCTCTGTGTTCTGAGTTAAGATTGATATTATTTCGTTTCTTCCCTAAGTGTTTGATAGACTTCACCAGTGAAACCATCTTGGCCTGTAGTTTTCTTCTGGGAAATTTTAAATTTTCCTATTAAATTTTAAAAATTTAAGGATAATTTGTGAGCATAATTTGTTCCAGAAACATGTTTGTAATACAAAGCGCTTGTATATCAAAGCGAATTTAAAGAACCATTGACTCACTTGTGATCATGTGAAATTAGGCATCACTTACTTATTGCTCACATTGCAAGATGTCACTTGTTTGTCAAGTTATAATTTATTAGAAATGTTTGCTAGTCTTGCCGAACACTCGCAGAACAAATTAATCACAATCCAAAATTTTATTATAAATACGGTGTAATTTTATGTTTTCTGTTTCTTCTTGAGTCAGTTTTGTTGTCTGTGGTGATATTTATGTCTATGTGGTGATGTTTTTCATTCCTGTTAGTGGTAATTCATGTCTTCCCCTTTTCTTCAGGGGCTTATCAACTTTATTGATATTTTCATAAAACACATTTGCTTTCATTGATTTTTCTCTAGTGTTTTTGTTTTCTCTTTCAAAAATATCTGCTCTTTATATCCTTTTCTCTACTTGATTTGTACTTAATTTGATCATCTTTTTCTAGGTCCTTAAACAGAGGCATAGATCATTGATTTGAAACCTTTTTTTCTAACATGATCATTTAATGCTAACTTTTCTTCTATGCCCTGCTTGACTAGCATTCCTCAAATTTTGATATGCTTTTAATTTTATTCAATTTTTTTCCTAAAGCCTCTTCTTGCTCTATCAGAATTATCCAGAGGCCTCAGATTCCTTTAGTGTTGCCTGATGCTTTGAACAGAGGTGAAATGTCAACAGTTTTATTTCTCACTATTTGTGTTCTTCTCTGTATGTCTGCTTGATAGAGGAATTCTTCCTCTCACTCTTGCCCCTCCTCAGTGGTAAACTGGTCTTGTTACTCAGTGCTTTCAAGACTAATAGAGGAGAGGACACAGAAAATTTTCTTTGATGTTATTGTGTAGCCTTGGTCTTAGGTAATTATGTATGCTTGGATCTCAGGGTGAGACTTACTCAGAGTTTCTCTTCCCTCCACCAGCACTAGGGGTCCTCTGGTCCTACTGGTATAAGATTCTGGGCTCAGGACTGTTGTTGTCCCCATTCCTCCGAACTATTGAGGTCAGAGGTCCCCCTCCTCCAGCAACAATGCATGGAATTTGCTGTACCATCCTCAGTGTAAGTTTAAGGCTTTTGCTCTTTCTATAGAAACAAAGGATTTGGGCAGGGTGGCAGCCAGTTCACAGCGGCAGCCCATTCCTTGCACCACTGAGAGAGACTTGTGATCTTTTGCCATTTCCAGTCATCTCCAAGACCACTCAGTAGAGGTCTGTGGAAGAGTGTGTGAGTGAGTGCAAACTGTCTGGAACACGTAAGAGTTATAAAACCCTGTTACATTATCCCATACTCAGCCTTAAACAATTTCTTAAAATTTTAGCTGATTTTTTCTTTCCTGCTTGTGTCACAGTGGTATCTTTCTCTTGCTTTGCCACAGGCGACCTAATTCTGGCATTATGTTTCTGTTTGGAAGTATCTGCTGATCCTTGGGATTCAGGCACCTTGGTATCTTATGGCTTTATCTCTGTGATTCAAGAGAAGTTCTGGGTAATTTAGAAGTGTTTTGTTTAGGGGTTCCGGTGTGGTTCAGTTGTTTAAGCATCTGACTCTTTCCACTCAGGTCTTGATCTCATGGTTCGTGAGATTGAGCCCCGCGTTTGTCTCCATGCTAACAGCACAGAACCTGCATGGGGTTCTCTTTCTCCTCCTCTCTCTTCCTCTCCCACACATGCACATGCACACTCTCTCTCAAAATAAAAATAAACTTAAAAAAGGGGAGAGGTATTTAAAATGATCACAATGTGCTAGGATTTTCCAAATGTCTTTCAGTTACTAACTCTTTTGTTTAATTCCATTTTGGTCAGAGGACATATTGGGTTTACTTTGGATTCTTTTAAATGTATAGTAAGACTTGTTTTATGGTCCAAGCGTTTTGATGTGAACGCTCTATATACAATTATTGTGTGAGATGTTCTATTATAGTGAGTTCAAGTTAGTTGAAATTGTTGTTCACATCTTCCGTGCTTCCTATTTTTGTCATTTTTTTATCAGTTACCAAGAGAGGGGTGTTAAAAATTCCATCAAATTCTGCCAGTTCTCCATGGATTTTGAAATGTTACTTGGAATTGCTATAACTTCTTGATAAATTAATCCTTTTATCATTTTGCCCATCAAATGTGCCCCTTTTTCTCTGGAAATGCTCGTCTTGAATTCTGCCTTAAGAGAAACCTCCCAGTTGCTGCTTTCTCCTAGGAGTTTTTTCCCCCAGCATCTCGCCCTATATACACTCATGGCTTAAGAGTTAGCCAACGGGGCACCTGGGTGGCTCAGTTGTTAAGCATCTTATTTTGGCTCAGGTCATGATGTCACAGTTTGTGAGTTTGAGTCCCACATCAGGTGAGCTCATGCCCTGTGTCAGTGAGCATGAGTCCTAGGTGAGCCCCACTTCTCTCTCTGCCCCTCGCTTACTTGCATCCTTTCTCTCTCTGCCTCTCTCTTTCTCTCTCTCAAAAAAAGAAAAAGTTAGCCAATGATATATGGGGAATTTGCTGGTTGGTTTTGTGGCTTCACCCTCTGGATTCCTTTCTGGGATTTTTTCTTCCTCACTGTTTACCACATTGGCTGCCTCACTTTGTGATCTATGACTCTTCTGTCTGGTAAAACTGCTGCTTTGTGCTTGAGCTCTTACTTATACTGATTTGGAAGCACTCCCTTGGGCAAAAATGTGTATCACACCTGTGCTTTCTTCTTTCAAAGACTGTGTTCATTCTTGTTTCTGCTTGCTTTGGGTTGATCTCCAGTGTTTTCGGATTGTTGAGTTTTTTATATATATATTGTCCAGAGTTTATAATTGTTATTGCCAGGAGGTTAGCCTGACACAAGGAACTCTGCTGTATCCTGCATCAGAACACCTCTCTGTCTCTATTAGAATAGCACCCGCTTTTTTTGGTGGGGGGGCTGCCTAGGTGGCTCAGTCTGTTAAGCATCCGACTTTGGCTGAGGTCATGATCTCACAGTCTGTGAGTTTGAGCCCTGCGTCAAGCTCTATGCTGATAGCTTAGAGCCTGGGGCCTGCTTTGGATTCTGTGTCTCACTTTCTCTCTGCCCTTCCTCTGTTTGCTCTGTTTCTGTCTCAAAAATGAACATTAAAAAATTAAAAAAATAAAAAGAATAGCCCCTACTTTTTTATCCCATTACCTTAACTGTTTGGAGACTCCTAGCCTTATGCAAGTTCTAACAATCAGAATATTTGTCTGATATTTTCCTTATGGTGATGTTTATTTCTCTATCCCTCGAATTTCCTATAAACTGGAATTTAGATCAAGAGAGTTGATTGAATTCAAGCTAAACATTTTTCTACTTCATAGATGATGCTTATACTCCCTGTTGCATTATATTAGCAGGAACATAATATTTGATTGTCTCCCTATCAGTGGTGATTGGTTTGATCACTCAGTTAAGGTAATGCTCTCCACTGTGAATATTTGTTTTTTACATTTGTAATTAGTAGGTACTTTCTAGGGTGATAATTTGCATTTTCTTCGTTTTTGGTATCCTACCAAAATGTTACTTCTTCATTTCATTCAGATGCCAGTACAGAGTGACACTTAACAAGTATTAGCTATTCTTATTATTTAATTCCTATCCCCCAAGCAGAAGTTCTTATAGATTCTAGTTTCTATATACTGTATATGCTTTAATGGTTCATATCTCATACTATGTGGTGGTTTTCTACTAGATTTTGAGATACTGAATGCAGATATTCCATGTTAGACATTTTTGTGTTTCATATAGCATTTAACTAGCATTTTGCATATAGTAGGTACTTGGTAAGTTTTTTTTAATAGAGAAAATTAGCTAAAAATATCTCAAAACTTTTCCTATTTAAATATTTTTTAATCTCTATTAGGTACAGGTTAAACTTAATGTTAATTTACACATTCATTTTTTTGTAGGTAAATGAGAAAACTGGACAGATTATACAGTATGATAAATTTTATATACATATACATGAAATTTTGATAGACATAAGGAATGATTATATCAACTGGGTCCAGCAGCAGGCCTATGGAATGGTATGTTTCCTGTTGCATTTTATGATTTCATTTCTATGTATCATATTCTCACAGAAAAGGAACTATTGCTTGTTTTTGAAACACCAAAGTTTTTTCAGAACTTTTATTCAAAGCTTACTTCGAAATAAAAGCACATTGGGAAGAAGCAGCTACTTATCATGCAGTATTTATAAGTGAACACTCCGCTCTTAATACCAGAGTCAAGCCAAACTAAAGAAAAATGCAAATATGACATGGATTTTTAATTCTCAATTATTTTCCATGGGGTTGTCTTTTAATTCTCTTACGTTGAGAATACTGGAGTCCCTGATATTAGAACTCTAAGAATATATTACTATTGTGAGATTAGGTCCCCAGAATTATAAAAAGAGAGTCCTAGGATCACTGATTCCATAAAATACTTTTATGTATTTAATTTTCAGATTTTTGACTTACATCTACATGTGTACATACTTCTTCCCATGTGGCTAAGTCTCTAATAACTAGACACTTAATGTCCCATTAAAATAATAGCAGTCTTAGAAAGCTTTATTTCAACAAAACTTTAATATCAAAATGGTTAAGCAGATCTAAAACAGGTTTAATACTCTTATTTGCTAACCAGTTTAGGATACTTCAGGCCAGCTTTTTTACCCCTGAAGTAGGTAACTTAAGCAGTATGTATTTAACAGTTAAAGAAAAGTGAGTAGCTTATCCACAGGGAGCTTGCTAGGTATCAGCTGCAAACTCCTTGTGGATAGGCACACTGTAATTATTCACCAGCACCTCTCATAGTATCTGGCATATGTGTAGTGGCACTAAACACATACAGTAGTTTTTGAATGGTGCTGCGATTTAGTGGGTGCTAATTTTAGAATACTCTCTTCTATAGGAATCAGGTCACTTCTAAAACGTCTTTTTCTTCCCTGGTATATGCATTTGATTAAGAGAGAGATTTGTTGATTTTCCCCCCTCAAGAATCAGTCAAGTTTCAGTCAAGTTTATAGCTGTTCTGCAAATGTAGATCTACTCATTTGCTTCTTCAAATACTGAGAATATTGAGAAACTCCTGTGACTGGCATCAATTTAGGTATTGCAAATACAGTGATGACACAGATAAACGCCATGTTCTTACAGTTTATAATCTGGTGGGCAAGATGGACAGTAATCCAGTAAAGCAAAAAAATTAGCTAATAATATACACAGTATAGAGAATTAAAATAAGAGAATATAATAAAGATGGGATGGTTTCTTACAATTGGATAATCAGAAAAGTCTGGTCTGTTGAACTATGGGCTGTAATCTAAATGACAAGAAGCAACTATGTAAGATCAAAGTGAAGTAAATTTCAAGAAAAATGAACATCCAGTAAAAGACCTTAGCTTGACATGATTGAAGGATTGGAAGAGGCCAGAATGGCTAAAATATGGCACTATGGAGAGTTCTGGGAAAGGAGAGTTCAGAGAAATGGATAGGCACCAAATCATGAAGGGTTTAGTAAATTAGGATCAAGAGCTTGGATTTTATCTGAAGTGTTATGATAGGCCATCGGAAAGTTGGAATCCTGAGTTTGCATATAAACCTGACACAACCAGGGAGGGTATCCTAGTTCTTTGAGCAGTGCTTTTGAAACTGGACTTAATATATAGATCCCTTTTAAAGTAAAACAGTTTTTTGGTTATGCCTGGGTGGCTCAGTCAGTTAAGCATCTGACTTTGGCTCAGGTAATGATCTCACGGTCTACGAGTTCACTCTCAACATTGGGCTCTGTGTTGACAGCTCAGAGCCTGGAGCCAGCTTCCGATTCTGTGTTTCCCTCCCTCTGTGTTCCTCCCCCATTCACGCTCTCTATCTCAAAAATAAATAAAAATATTTTTAAAAATTAAAAAAAATAATAAAACAGTTTAAGAAGTCCAGTGTTCACTTATTTATGACTTTATTTTAAAATATACAAACACTAAAATGAGTTCTACACTTAGATTTTGAAAGAACTCTAAAACCATAAAATTTATAAATTAATTATAAATAATACTACAAATTTAAAAATCAAGTTATTATTTAGTATGGAGGATAATTGTGTTTTGATGATCAGGAATCTTACCTCATAGCCTAAATATAAGAAAGTAGGGTAACATAAAAGCTTCTTGGTTCAAATCCTTGCTCAGCATTTACTCACTCTCTGTCATTGGGGAAATTACTTAATTCTTCTTCTGTAAATTAGGGATAATAGTACCTACCTTATATAGTTATTGAGAAGATTAATTTGTATAATCTACCTAAAGTGCTTAGGGCAGCTCTTGGCACATAGTTAAATCTTGGTAAAATGATGGTTATTATTGCTGACTGCCTATACGTGGGATTTAAAGTTTGCCAGTAGCCTCTATTTTGAGGTGTCTAATAACTCTGTTATGTTGCTACCTTTCTCTATTTGGACTGCAATGAAACATTTCCTTTTAGAATGAAATGTCATAGTAGTTTGGCCTTCACTCGTCAAGCTTGTTGTTTATGTAGGAAATCCTAGACATTGAAGTCCTTCCTGTTTGGTGCCCGTTTGATTACAGTCACAACCATTGCAACTCTTGGAGTTTCATGGTGATACTGGGTTTATAAATGGATTATCCTAATTTTAGATTTTTAAGTCATTTTTAAAAATTCTGGTACAAAAACACTAAAATAAAAAATTCTCCAGAGCACTGATAGATCCCTAAAAATATATCCCTCAGAGATGCAAGCCTAGTTTGAGAAATATTATCTTAGAGTCATATCTTCCTGTATTAACTATGAATTAGATTAGATACACTTTGATATCTGAATTTATATACAATATGTAGCTCATAAACTCTTGTATTCTTAACAGTTAAGACAAATCCCAGTTGCATAGGATTTTATAGTATGTAGAAAACTTTGTGGAAAAGTTGTGATTTGAATGTTTACTTTTAAGTTTGGCAGGCCTGTATCCAGACCCCTTTGGTATATAGCTTAGGTGATATCAAATTGAATTTCCTTAGGCACTATTTCAGTGCTACTATCATCTGTTAAGAGGGAAGCCATAAAGGACTACCTTCCTATTTCTAGGTTTTTTCTCTTTGTTTCTCATTCTGTCTAGATTATATCTTTACTGTACTTGATAATTGCCGTCCATTACTCTTTCAACCACAAGGTTTTCCCTTCTCTTCATTTGTAGATAGAATGATATCGAATAGTTGGCTGCAGCAGTGAAAGCTTGTTCTTCATTTAATTTGCATAGTGGGTTTAATCTCTAATCTTAGAAATCAGATTGCAGAATACATGATTTGAGTTCTTCTACCTCTGGGAAAGAAGGTTGGCATTTACTTTGAAGGTCTCTGTGCAACTCTTATTTATATAGTTCATTAATTTATATTATGACATTTAATTTTGCAAAGCTCTTTTCTTTGAGTCAAAAGTGCTTTCACATTTCACATTTACACGTAAGTCTAAAGATTCTTTTCCTGAGGATTTTTAATAAAACCCATGCTTGTATTACTAGTCTTAATGCTAGGTTGAACATCACATTAACACTCTAGGTAAGATTTAAAAGAATCTATCCTGGGGCGCCTGGGTTGCTCAGTCGGCTAAGCATCCGACTTTGGCTCAGGTCATGATCTCACGGTTCGTGGGTGTGAACCCCACATCGGGCTCTGTGCTGACAGCTAGCTCAGAGCCTGGAGACTGTTTCAGATTCTGTGTCTCCCTCTCTCTCTGACCCTCCCCTGTTCATGCTGCCTCTCTCTCTGTCTCTCAGAAATAAATAAAACATTATAAAAAAATTTTTAAAAAGAATTTATCCTAAATATACTCACATGCTGGGTTTTTTTAATAAATGTTTTATTTATTTCTGAGAGAGAGGCAGCGTGAGCGGGGAAGGTCAAAGAGAGAGGGAGACACAGAATCTGAAATAGGCTACAGACTCTGAGCTAGCTGTCAGCACAGAGCCATATGCAGGGCTCAAACCCACAAACCGTGAGATCATGACCTGAGCTGAAGTTGGACGCTTAACTGACTGAGCCACCCAGGCGCCCCACTCACATGCTGTTTTGTGATGATATAGATGTGTATGTACATTTGTATACACATTAACATATGGATATACGTGTATGTAAATACATATATACCACTATTGAATAAGATTTATAATCTAGAAATAATTCCATTGCTTCAATGTGAAAGCTTAAAATATTCTTTGATAAAACATAATTACTATGAATTTTAAGAAATATATGTCTAGAAGTTTTACTTATATACACATGTATACATATATTTGTAACTTTACCTTGTCCTAAATACTGCAAGGAAATTATTTACTTTTATTATATTTGCTTTATCCTATAATCTGTTGAAATTTTTTTCCTCCATTTCTTTTCTTCCCAATCAAGGATTTTAAGAATCTAGCACATATATGCTTCCCTGATCTCTAAACATTAAAAACTAATTCTGTGAAGTTCTTTGTTTTCCTTATAATATCCTTTTGTACTGCTGAGACTTCTAATTTTTCACCTCATCCCCTTTCATTTTCCCATCTTTTTTAACCTAAGTCTATGAAGTTTTTTACTTGATCCTCCTACTCCTGCTGGTTACTATAGACTTCTCTGTTTTTTTATCAGGACTCTGATTTTTTTAAAGATTGATTACTTGTTTGTTTGTTTATGTAATCTCTGCAGCCAATATGGGGCTCAAACTCACAACCTCGAGGTCAAGAGTCACACACTCTACCAACTGAGCCAGCCAAGTGCCCCTCAAGACTCTGATCTTGGTGTATAAAACTGTTATTCAGTTGGATTCCTTTTGCCTTTTATCTGTTTTTCTCCCTCCACTGTAATCTCTAGGCAAAATAAAATGGCATATGGGTTCCTTTTTCTCTTCTGCTATTTGTTTTTCTCCACTTTGTAAGACTGTTCTCAGTTGTATATTTCTTTGCCTTCTTTTAACTTTGGTTTTAACTTGAAAATACTTTAGTGGTTGCTACTAAACTCTGCTCTTTTTTTCTTACCTTTCCTATACTCTTAGTTACTGCCCTATATACCATCGATATTTACTTAGTAAAAATTAATTTAGAATGAAGTATAGAATGGTTTATGCTGTGTCCACTTATTTGTATTACTGTAAGGTTCTTATGCAGTTTTAAAAATACATACTCATTTATTTCAAGAACTGTAATGAAGACGTCATATACAAGTAGATACTAATGAAGATACTTCGTAAATTGGTAAAATTTTCAGAGTCTTTCAAGTCATAAGTCATATTTATTTGATATTATTTGTGCTGTGTATATAAATCATCGCTGTCTTTGTTTTTTGGTGTTAAGTTGTACTTTTAACAATGCTGAGCTAGCAATATGACATGTTCACCAGCAAACTAGCAAGATACACTGATAGAACAGTTGGGGTGACCAGCTTGGGAAAGATCCACCAGCACTTTCTGGGTTTGAGTTTTTTTCTCATTTAGTAAAAAGAAGAAATTAAAGTACATTTGTGCTCCTTTGCAACTGTAATATTTCCTAGAAAAGTTCATCCTTGCTTTGTAAAGCTCCCTAATCATTTTTAATGGCATTTATTTTACAGACTAAACTCTTAGACTGATTATCTATTGGATTACCAAATTATGTTTGTGTATTTTCATTTTCTTCATATTTTAGATGTTATTTTTTCATTTCCACTTAATCACTAAGACTTTTCATGTTTACTGGAATCACTTCATTAACTCTAGTATCCCCTTAGAGTAATCCTGTGTTACATCATTAAATCAAATGACACCAGCAATGGTATAGTGTTTTGCCATAATTAGTTGAAACTAAAGTGTGTCGATGAACTCCATCTTTTTATCTATAATTCAACTGGAACCATAATTAACCATTGGTGTCAAAAGCATCTTTAGTGAAGTCTGCTTTAGACCATGAGAACGTGACTTTTGAACATTCCTTAAAGCCTTTTTCACTCCAGCTTCTAGGACATTGAGGAACTAAAATTAGACATGCCTTGACCCAGTTTCAGGATTCCCACTCTTAAAACAGCCAACAGCTATTGCTTGAGTATGTGGATTTGGAGCCAATAGTAGGTCACACATTGAATGATATGTTGAATTTTTAGCAATAAACCATTAATTGACCTCACATGTTTTATGATAGAACCTGTCTCCAACCCTCACATGACTTTGATTCCTTTTTAAAATTCCCTTGGAAATACTACTGTGACTGAATCAGATTTGCAAATAATAAAACAAATACATTGCAACTCTAATGTTTCCCAGAAGAGTTCATCCATGCTCTTTTAAGCATTTACCCTTTTTCCTTTTTGTATTTACCTTTTTAAAAATGCTTGAGCTTTTGTCTAAGATCCTTAACCTTTAAATTGAAATTTCTTTGTTATAATTTTTTAAAACGTTTTGTATTTATTTCTGAGAGAGACAGTGTGAGCAGGGGAAGGTCAGAGAGAGAGAGACACACACAGAATCCAAAGCAGGCTCCAGGCTCTGAGCTAGGAGGCTCTGAGCTAGCTGTCAGCACAGAGCCCAACATGGGGCTCAAATCCACAAACCCAAATCCACAACCCGGGGCTCAAATCCGCAAACTGTGAGATCATGACCTGAGCCGAAGTCGGATGCTTAACCGACTGAGCCACCCAGGTGCCCCTAAATTCCAATTTCTAACAATGGTCTTAATCTGTTTCACCCTTGGATGCCTCTCTCCTAGATAATGGTTTTACTTGATATTTAACGCAACGCTTCTTTTCTTAAGCTTTCCATATGTCCCATTATTTCGTATATTCCTTTTAGTTTACCTCTCTTCTGCAATCAAACAGGTACTGCTTCAGAATGGTTTAGTGACACTATAAATTCCAGCAATCTTATTGACTTCTCCTATGCATAATGAGATGCATAGCACCTTTATCTGTTTACATATAGCAATAAAAAATAGTGCACATACATTGTTTTATTTATTTAAAAATAAAATTAATCTCTCATGCTATAAACTATCTTGGTATCTAGTATAGTTACCAAGCAGGCTGTAGGTAGTCAGGAAATATTGAAAAGTGTTTGTTTATTTATTTATTCAAGCTTTCATGGTAGTAATAGCATTTTTAAAAGGTCCCCACAAGATACACTGTAAAAGAATGTCATGTGTTCCTGTTGGTTTCAAATTAAACTGGTGCAATCTAAAAGGCTTTTCGGCAGTACAGCTTCTAAATATGTTCTTGTTGGGGTGCCTGGGTGCCTCAGTCAGTTAAGCATCTGACTTCAGCTCAGGTCATGACCTCACGGCTTGTGGGTTCGAGCTCCACGTCGGGCTCTGTGCTGACAGCTCAGGGCCTGGAGCTGCTTCGGATTCTGTGTCTCCCTCTCTCTCTGACCTCCCTTGCTCACACTGTTTCTCTCTCTCTCTCTCAGAAATAAATAAAACATTAAAAATTTTTTTTAAAAAATAAATATGTTCTTGTTAACGTTAGTAGGGGCACATATGTAGTGATAACTTGGTACTCTGAGTTTTTTGGAAGAAACTATTATCAATAGCCTTTCTCTGAATAGGATTTGTATGGAGTCCTATTTTGCTTATTCTCATACTGCTTTGGCTTTATGTAGCACAATATAGTGAAAGAAACCTGTCTTTGCTCATATCTTAAAGCCTCCAAATGTACCCCCAAAATGTCTGAGCATCTAACAAACTATGTATTTATAAGGAATAGACTGCACAAGACTGCCCTCACTTCTGGCGCGAGTTCCAATTTTGAGGGGCTCTCCACACCACCCTCAGGTTCAGTAATTTGCTACAGGTTCCCACAGAACTCACTGGAAACTTATACTGATGTTAACAGTTTATTGTATGGAAAGCATACAGATCAAAATCAGTCAGGGGAAGAAGCACATAGAGTGGCCTCTGAAAGAGGTACCAAAGGCATAGCTTCTCCTTTCCTCTCCCTGTGGAGTCGTGGATAAGTTATTTTCCTAGCATCCCTGTGTGGCACTACTCACAAAATAATGCCAACCACAGAAGCTCCACCAGATCCTTGATGCCCAGAGTTTTTACTGAGGTTTGATTACATACTGCCTATGTGGATAACCTTTAGTCTCCAGACCTCTGAAGGCAGAAATGATAACCAAATGGTCCAGAACCCTCAGGCAAATAAAGATATTCCTATCAGGCCTGACATTCCAATGGCCTGTAGATCACCCCCAATAGATTATGGCAAAACCAGACCTCTCTTTGGGTAAAATTAATTCTTCACTCTTCAAAGTACCATTTGCAAATTTAGTGACGTCTTTTTGGATATTCCAGCACTTTATGTAAGTCTATACCCTGAGCATGTGTAGAAGCTTTCTGTAAGAAAGTGTATGTTTCTGTTGAGTGAAGTGGTAAGCTTCGTTGTAATAACCATTATTATTCCCTTCATAAATCTCTCTTTCTCTCATTTTTTCTTTCTGTTTGTCAACTTCTAAACCCTGTCCTGTACTTTCAGTTTTAAGGTAACTTAGTGTTAAAGAATCCTTAATATAAGATACTCTATGTTTCATTGGTTATTTATGACAAGTAAAAACATTTAATGGCTTGTTTCCATATAATATTTTAATCTGCTAAATACTTTTCAAGCATTTTGTCAAGATTTAACCAAGTCCTGAAGTCTGGGGAATATTTTCTCCATTTTCCAGGTGGAGAAACTGAGACATAAAATTACTTCTTCAGGACCAAGTTGGGCTTAGGATTAGTTTCCCCATTTTATCTAAATTCTACAAATGGGGTGCTTAGTTGCTAAAGCCAAATTTCATTATGTTCAAGTCTTGATAATTTTATGACTTCAAGATAAATGAAACAAAGGTCTAGTTTTATAGGTATGGATATATAAGGTACATGTAGAAAGGGTAAGTTTTGTTGTAGGTGTATTTTGGTCTACTTCATTAATTCAGTATGCTGCTCTAGCAAACTATATGAAATGCTACTTTGAATAGAAATAGTTAAATTTGGACACTAACATTGCTCTTTCCTCATTACTGTTACGTTCTGCACTGCTGTCTTAGGATGTCAACCATGGATTAACTGAGGTAAGTTTGGTGTAATGAAGTCTCATGTTCAGAGTAAAATATACTCTGTTTTGTCTTAAGTGATAGGAGAGCAGAAGTTGCCTGTTTTGTTTGATAAGCCTATATATAGATGGTTAGATAACCTAACTATCTATCTATATAATTTTTTGAGTGTATAGGAGTTGTCCTATATAAGAGTTCAAAGGAATTTTCTGAAGGAAATTAAAACCTCTGTTTTAGTTAACATTGCATCTGTATAATGCCTTTCAATAATATTTGCCTTATGGTTTTTTTTTAACATTTTATTTTTGGGGTGACTGGGTGGCTCAGTTGGTTGAATGTTCAACTCTTAGTTTCAGCTCAGGTCATGATCCTTGAGTTGTGGGATCAAGCCCCATGTCAGGCTCTGCACTTAGCATGGAGCCTGCTTAGGATTCTTTCTCTCTGTTGCCCTCTGGTTCTCTCCCCCACTCCCTCTTTAAAAAAAAAAAAAAAAAAAAAAAAAGATTTCTATTTTAAAAAATTTTTAATTAAGATTTTATTTTCTCCACCCAATGTGAGACTCAAACTCACAACCCTGAGTTCAAGAGTCACATATTGTACTTACTGAACCAGACAGACACCCCAATAATATTTGCTTTAAAATAGTTTCTACCCTCCTAAAATCTTCCAGTATGAAATTAATATGTGTCCTTTGTAATATAAAAAAGCAAACTTTTAAAATCTGATAAATGCTTACTCAGTAAGGCAAAAAATAGAGAACTAAATGACCTTTAATTTTTGAGTTAATAATTGATACTCAGTATGATCATCATAAAGTTAAATAAACTCAGTATGGTCATCTTCCTCACTAGAGATAGATAGATAGATAGATACACACACACACACACACACACACACACACTATCTTAACATATAAAGTTCTAGCACTTTGGTTTAGATTATCAACAAACCTAAATAACTTTTTTAATACATGGAATTGTTACAATACTTTATACTTCCTTTATATATATATATAATTCCTTTATACTTCCATTATAGACTTCAGGTTTTATTGTTTTGTTTTGCATTTTTCTCAGCACTTGAACCAGTGAAACATTTAGAATTAACTGTATATTATAGGCCTAATATTGTTTGCCTCCTTATCTTCACATAGAAATAGCACATAAAATTATGAAATTATAGACTTTTGAAACCAAAAGAGACCTGAGAAATCATCTCAGTACTTTTGAATTTCAGAATAGTGAAATGACTTTCTACCATCAGTAGGTAGTGACACAAATACAGGATGAAGGTAAAAAATGTCATGTGAAAAATAGTGAAAAATGATAATTTACTGTAAGGTAAATATAACCCACAATGCTGTCTTACATGTTGACAACAAAGAGCTCATAGTTTCATTGTGTTCTATACTGATTGTTTTTGTTAAGAGAGAATAACATAAAATACATTTAAAAGAAGGTTGGAGAAGGGCTAGCAACCATATTATTTTCAGAATGGATGGAAAAACTGGGAATGTTTACTATGGAAAAAACAATTGAGAGAGAGCATGGGGACTTGAAATACTTTAAACCATATACGCTTCCTTGTAATGAAGATTGCAATACAAAACAAAGTGATGCATTGTGATATTTATAAATGTAGATTCAGACTTAATAAAAAGAACTTCCTAAATAAAAAGAACTTCCTAAGCTCATAAGAAGTGGATTTTTTCATGGTGTATTAAGTCTTCACTAGAAACCTTACAGTAGGGTCCATGTTTCCAGGGCTGACACAAAAACATTGCCTTATTGGGTAGATCTTTGTATTTCTCTGCATTGTTAAATTACTTAGCTATCAGTCACCGTATCACTTGATAGGTTAAATAATTATAAAGTGGGTAATGTGTGATAATGGTAATAATCCGTTTTCTCAACTCTAAAGATTGACAGAAAATAATACTCATGGTACTTGTTTTGTAGGTTAAATGAGTGAAAGATTGTTGGACTCAACAATAGTGTTGGCACCCTAATGGCATGCAGTAAATATCTGTTAAGTGAATGAATAAGCAGATTGCTTATCATTGGCCTCAGTTGCTAGAGTAACCCTGAGTACTCTAGAACTAGAACTGGGTAATATATTTAACATAGGGGCTCCCAATTTTAGGATATATTTGCATCCTAATTAACTGAATCTTGGAGTTAATATATGTTAAGCCGAAGATACTTGTGATTTATAGTTGTATGGACTTTCAAGTATATAATTCCTTCTTAAAATTGGGGTTATTTTCCAGTGCCTTAGTAAAATTCCATATTTGAAAGTAAGTGCAATATTTATAATTCCTGAACAACATAGAGGTGAACAAACCAAGAATATGATGAGCTTTAAAGAAATGACAGTACCTACAAAAAAAATATATCACAAATCAGTTCTAATAAATTAATTTTATTTCCAGTTGGCAGATATCCCTGTTACAATCTGCACGTATCCATTTGTATTTGATGCCCAAGCAAAAACTACTCTGTTACAAACAGATGCAGTCTTACAGATGCAGGTAAGATATAGTTTAATACTAATCTGACTTGAGACTGGTTTTGAAATGGTTTCTCTAGTGTTTTTGAATATTTATCAATATTTGTTGGGGCACCTGGGTGGCTCAGTCGGTTAAGCGTCTGACTTCTTTTCAGGTCATGATTTTGCACTTTGTGAGTTCAAGCCCCATGTCAGGCTCTGTGCCGACAGCTCAGAGCCTGGATGGAGCCTGCTTCGGATTCTTTGTCTCTTTCTCTCTCCCCCTTCGCCGTTTGTCCTCTGTCTCTGTCTCTATCTGTCTCTCATTCTCTCTCTCTCTCTCAAAAAAACCCAATTTTTTAAAAACAGTAAATATTTGAAGTTTGCCTATAATCTGTAATTTTCGGAAACATTCTGTACCTTTGTGGTCTGTCTTTTGCAAAGTACCTTTGGTACCTTGTAAAGGGGACTGTTACATGTGACATGTATATTGTTATGAGGACTTATATATTTAAATGAAAATAGAATAGTTTAACTTTTAATCATTTATATCTAAAAAATGGAATAAGCCTCTTTCATTGTAGAAATATCTAATCTTTATAAGCAGGTTTGTTGTTTTTTTTTTTTTTTAGCTTACTTGATAAATGTGGGTTTGTTTCAAAACTTGCTTCATTGTATATTCCATATTTATATACTTGGTAAAAGATGGAAGTGACCAGAGGTGATATGATGTTAAAGAGGCATTTGATCACTTGTTAGGGATGGACATGAAGTTTCCTGGAAGAAAGTTTTAGTAATAATTAGTAAGACATTTTCCTCAGGTTGGTCATCTCCTGCTCTTTGATCTCCTTCCTCCCCCAATCTGCTGTTTTATGTTGAACATTTTTTCATTTATAATGAGGGATTTTTTAAACTAATTTACATTATAACTTTGAGAACTACAGTAGATTTGTTTTATCCTTTGAACCTGTAAGTTTGAAAAGGTTTTGAGTTTTATTTTCTATTATAGAATATCAAGACTATAGAGGCTAAGGACTAGGTAAAGAATGAGAAGAAACCTTGAGCACTTAAAATCTTCTAAAGATGCTTTAAAAAATTATCCCCCCCCTTAATAGCTGTTTTCATTCTTTTAAAATAAATGTATTTGGTATTTTAAATGCCTCTAGATAGGGGCACCAGGGCGGCTTAGTCTGTTAAGCATCTGACTTTGGCTCAGGTCATGAGTTTGCAGTTTATGAGTTCGAGCCCTGCGTCAGGACAGCTCAGAGCCTGGAGCCTGCTTCTTCAGATTATGTGTCTCCCTCTTTCTCTGCCCTTCTCTCGCTCATGCTCTGTCTCTCTCTCTCTCTCTCTCTCTCTCTGTCTGTCTCTTAAAAAATAAACATTTAAAAAATTTAAATGCCTCTAGATATTTAAATAATAAACAAATTTTACATGCTTATATCAATTTTCATCAACAAAAGAAATAATAACACATATACATTCATTTTTAGAGTGAGCAAGCATGTGTGTACACAAGCAGAGGAGAGAGGCAAAGGGAGAGAGAGCAGGAGTCTTAGGCTCCCCGCTCATTGCAGACCCCAACACAGGGCTTGATCCTACCACCCTGGTTTCATAACCTGAAGCTGAAATCAAGAGTTGGTCTCTTAACTGACTGAGCCACCCAGGTGCACCCAGGAGAAATATGTTTGTAGGATTTATACCAACAGCTACTAAACCAGTTTTTGATGGTCTTTCTTAAAACAATAATCACCTCATGCTCTTAATATATAGCACATTCCATTTTAGAATAAGAACATCGGGAAAACCATAGGAAAAGAACAGAGGCTTTAAATGGTGAAAGCCAAATGCTTGCTTTGAGAGCATGGTGATCACTCTGCTAGATTAATTTTTTTTTAATGTTTATTCTTGACGGGAGTGGGGGGGAAGGGGGGGGGAGAGCGCGAGGGGAGAGGCGCAGAGGAAGAGGAAGAGAGAGAATCCCAAGCAAGCTCTGTGCTGACAGCGCAGACCCTGACACAGGGCTCCATCCCATGAATTCACAAACGGAGATTATGACCTGAGCCGAAATCAAAAGCCGGATGCTTAACGAACTGAGCCACATAGGCAACCCTACTAGATGGGTGCTATTAATACTCCTCAGCCAAGCTATTCCTTATTCTCGTTTGAGGTTGTTATAATGCTGTTTTCTTTTTCTCCTCACTCTTCATCCCACTTATTTTTTAAGAAATAGCAGTGTTTAGCTTTACTGTATTATAATAGTTCCATACTTGCTTAGTGGTGTCATTAGCTATACATTAATATAAAAATATTCAAGAGGTGCCTGGGTGGCTTGGTCGATTAAGCACCTGGCTTCAGCTCAGGTTGTAATCTCAACGGTTCGTGAATTCGAGCCCTGCATTGGACTCTCTGCTGTCAGCACAAAGCTCACTTTTCTCTGTACCTCTCTCTGTCTCTCTCTCTCTCTAAAATTAAAACATTAAAAAAAAATTTCAATAGGACACTCTTTATGCTTAGGATACAAGTTTTTTAAACTCCTACGCTCTGTTAGACAGACACTGTTAGGTGCTATGTGAATTAAGTAGCATAGGAACTATTATAGGAATTATAAATATAGGATTATAATTAATAAGTAGAAGTTAGTTTACCCAGTCACATTAGTTTCTTTATACCATTGTATTCAAATTTTAATCTTTTGTTTTCTAGATGGCTATTGATCAGGCCCATAGACAGAATGTCTCCTCTCTTTTTCTCCCGGTGATTGAGTCTGTGAATCCCTGCTTAATTCTAGTTGTGCGTAGAGAAAATATTGTAGGAGATGCAATGGAAGTCCTTAGGAAAACAAAGAATATAGACTACAAAAAGCCACTCAAGGTAATTTGACATTTTCTGTTACATAATTGGTACTTTATTCAGAAAATATGTTTAAAGTTTTTGTTTTTAATGTATTTTTGAAACTTAATAAATAAAACTATATAAAACTTAAATATTTTTTAAACTGTTAATTGCTGAGCATTTATTGCATGGGCTCTCCAGAATATACTTCTATACTTCCATTGCTTTACATTCAGTGTTTGCATTATGCTATTTTAGGTTATATTTGTTGGAGAAGATGCTGTTGATGCAGGAGGAGTACGCAAAGAATTTTTCTTGCTCATCATGAGGGAATTATTGGATCCTAAATATGGCATGTTTAGGTATTATGAAGATTCCAGGCTCATTTGGTTTTCTGATAAGGTGAAGTCCAACCGTCTAAATTATTTCTATGTATATACCTATGTATGTATACCTACATGTGTCAAGTTAACTCAGTAAATAAGAGTTATTACTGAATTCCTAACATTTTATTCAGAGATCTGCTTTACTATGATTTGGAAAATTATAAACTTTTGGACTCAGTCATCAAAACAGCTTAATGCTTCCCACACATTTCAGATTAGCAAAATAAAAGAATGGTCAGTTTGAGAATGATGTAGACTTTTCTTTCCACTGATTTAGATTTGATGATTGAATAACAATTACCAGATTAACTTCTGGGAAAAATTAATTTATCAATAGCAATTATTGATTGCCTAAATCATTGATTTAGGACAGAGGTAACTACTCAGCAAATTACAGTCCATAAACTAGGTTCTTCCCAACACATGTTCTTGTAGATAAAATCATGCCCACTCTTTTACCTATTATTCATGGCTGCTTTCTAGCTATAGCTGGAAGAAGCAGAGTTGAGTACTTAAGATAGAGACCATATGATCAACAAAGCCTGAAGTATTTACCATCTGTTCCCTTACAGAAAGTTCACTGCCTCTTGATTTAGAGATTATAAATGAAATGGATGGTTCAATTTGTAGAATGGCTTGAAAGAATTTTATATAGAATATTTACTATTGGTTCTAAAAACTTTGATGTGCCATTTATTCATGTTTTAGTAGGCTGGCTATCTTTATGATGTTAGGAGTTACTGATGATAAGTGCCTCATTAATTTATTAGGGGTTGCAAAATGGTGCTACTCTAACATTTCTTTTTCATTTTATTGGCTTGGGTACTTCTATGCAGAGAAATTTTCCTGTATATACTATTTGGTTCCTTAGTAGTACAATTCATATGGGAATGGATTCTCTCTCTTTAGTTACTAATTTTTCTAAAGAATGAATCTGTTCATTGACATACTCCACTGGTGACTATTTTTTTTTTTTTAGTTTTGTTTTCATGGATTTAAACATATTTGATGTTTTTAGTCCATCATAGTTATTACTATCTTTATTGATGCTCATATTATCGCATCTTTGTCTTGAAAGAGCTCTGCAGGTTGACCCCTGAGTTCTTTTGATGCAACTTTAATACTCTTTCATAGCTTCCTTACTACCTGGTGTACTTGGTATGAAAAAATCCTCCAAAACTACATTTGCTGCCTAACAATACCAGCATTACCACCAGTATCATGATAAAAGCTGAAAATGGTTGTTTCTTTTTTTTTTAGTTGTTTTTGAAGGGTTTTTTTTGATGTGTATTTTTTTGTCCTTTGAGTATAACCTCAGGAGAGCTGCACAAATAATAGAGAGCAGTAGCAGGGGGATATGGTCAGTTGGCCTATGTTTTAGAGGAGCTGGGGTTTTTAAGAAGGTAAATGGAAGGAGGTCTAGAAGGAGTGAAGAGTCAGGAGACTTAACCTCTATGCCTAATTGTATGAGGGGTTGGAAGAGAAAACAGACACCATTTATGAGAGCTACAGGGGAAATAGTGTCCTCAGAAGACAGTCTTGTTCATTTACAAAAGAGGAAGGAAAACTTGGAAAGAAGTTTAGGATATGGACAATTTTCCAAATGATAGATTGTGAGTTCCAGGGCAAACACTGAAAAGGTTTAGTGGAGCAAGGATAGTTGTAAGGTTCTGTCAGATTTTAGGGCCTATACAGTACCACAGGAAGATGGGATGAGGGATAACCTGTGAGTTTGAGGCTTCCTATGTTGATAAACAGACATGTTAAGACATGGTGGAATAGTCCTGATGGCCTTTAGGTAGGTGGTTAATCTGATTGAATTACAGTCTCCTTCTTGGCTTGGTGTCTTAGGGTAGGTTGTTAATGGTATGGTAGATAGAAGTTAAGAGGGTACATGTGGTGGAGGCCTGTCCTTCTAGGAACACAGTTCTATGGGACTTCATTCAGTTCTGCAGAGGGGTACTGTTTTGAGACCAGGGGTGGGGCAGTCTTAACAAGCTTTATTGTGGATCTCTGGGAGATCCTTTCAGTTATATCTTGATTTCACCAGTGGAGCCCTGTTGAATTGGTTCCTCTTTTGTGTACTTTGGATGTGTCCCAGTTTTTCCTTAATTATTCTTTACATTTGGTACAACAATGTGACCAGCTCTTCTTGTGTTTACCCCAGCTCTAGTATTAGTCTTTTCTCCCTTTTTAAAAAATTTTTTAATGTTTTGTTTATTTCTGAGAGAGAGGGAGACACAGAATCTGAAACAGGCTCCAGGCTCTGAGGTAGCTGTCAGCATAGAACCTGAAGCGGGGCTCAAACCCACGAACTGTGAGATCATGAGCTGAGCCGAAGCTGGATGCCTAACCACCTGAGCCACCCAGGCGCCCCTAGCCTTTTCTCCTTAAAAGCCCTCACTTCTTCAGATGGAAATAGTATGCAGAAACTATGCTCTGAATGCTAAGTGTACTCCCTACTACCAGGTAGTCATTGCTTTCAAATTCTCAGCAGACAGAATCAGGAACTGTGTATATACACACATATGTACACATCTCATGATTTCCAGCATATATATGGTTTCTAACCGTGAGATCATACTGATATCTCTAATTCTATGCAAATACCATTACTCTAACCTCCTTTTCCATTTTATATGACTTAAAGCACCACTGAGAAACTTCATAGCTATCATCTTAAAGATATTTACTCAGTCTACTCTGTATGTAGTCAGTCTTCTTGCTACACTGAAAACTCAGTCCTGACTAGGAGAGGGAGAAGGCTGAGAGCTATATGTTCTTTTAAAAACTTTTTTTAATTAAGTAAGTTCAAAACAATATTCACCATTTTAGGAATTTTTTTAATGTACAGTTTAGTGGCATTTAGTATATTCGTGGTGTTCCAGAACATTCCATCACCTCAACAGGAAACCTGTACACATTTAGCGGTTACTCCCCATTTCCTTCTCCCTCCAGCCCTTGATGATCACTACTCTATTATCTGTCTCTGTGTATTTGTCTTTTCTTGATATTTGCTGTAAATGAAGTCATACAATATGTGGCCTTTTGTGGCTGGCTTCTTCGTGTAGCAGGTTTCCAAGGTTCATCCATGCTGTACTTCATTCCATTTTATAATTGAATAATACTCATTTGTGTGAATATGCCTCATTTTGTTTTTATCCATTCATCAGCCAATAGACACTTGGGTTAATTACTTCTTTTGGTAAAATGCTCTGAATAATGCTGCTGTGAACATTTATGTACAAGTTTTTGTTTGCACACTGCAGTTAGTTTGGATGTATTCCTAGGAGTGGAATTGCTGGGTCATGTTATAATTCAATTTGACTTTTTAAGGAACCACCAAACTGTTGACATTCCCGTCAACAGTATATGAGGATTACAGTTTCTAGTTCATGGGCAACATTTGTTATTTTCCTTTTTTTTAAATTATATATTTCAAAAATATTTTTTATTTATATTTCTTAATCTTACAGTGGTTATGAAGTGGTACCTCATTTGGTGCTAAATTGCATTTCCTTAAATGGCTAGTTAATGTGTTTGATACATTCTTTAGCAAAATGTCTTTTAAGTCCTCTGCTCATTTTAAAATTAATCTTTTTGTTGTTGAATTATAAGAGTTTTTTATATATTCTGGATACTAGACTCTAATTAGATGTATGATTTGCAAATATTCTCTCCCATTTTATGGTTGTCTTTTTGCTTTCTTGATAATATATTTTTGCACACAAGTTTTAAATTTTGTTGAAGTCTTACCTATTTTTTTCTTTTGTTGCATATGTTTTTGGTGTAATAACTAAGAAACCATGGGCTATTGCAAGGTCATGAAGATTAACCTCTGAATTTTCTTCTGAGTTTTATAGTTTTAGCTGTTATAGGTCTTTGATCTATTTTGAGTTAATTTTTGGCTATGTTGTGAGGTAATAAGAGTTCAGCTTCGTTCTCTGCATGTGAATAACTCGTTGTCCCACTATTATTTGTTAAAAAGGCTGTTTTTCCCTTACTGTGTGGTTTTGGTACCGTTGTTGAAAATTAATTGACTACAAAGATATGGATTTATCTCTGGACTCTTAAGTTTTATTCCAGTGAAATATATGTCTGTCCTTATGTCAGTACCACACTATTTGTTTACTTTAGCTTTGTGTAAGTTTTACATTTGGTTTGTTCACTGCTAGGGTATAGAAGTACAACCAATTATGCTCGCTTTGGCAGCACATATAAAAGAAATACAACTGCTTTTTGTGTTTTCATCTTGTATTATGCGACTTTGCTAAATTCACTTATCAGCTCTAATTGTTTTGTGGATGGATTTTCTTTATACAAGATCATGGTATCCACAAATGCAATAGATTTAATTTTACTTCTTTCCTTCCAATTGCGATACCTTTATTTCTTTTTCTTGCACCTAATTGCCCTATGTAGAACTTCCAGTACACTATCATATACAAGTGGTAAGACTGCACATGCTTTTCTTTTCCTGATCTGGCAGGATATTTGATTTTTCATAAATTCCTTTTTTTTTTTTCCCCCCAGAAAGTCCTTCTATCATGTTAAGAAGTTCTCTTTTATGCACGATTTGTTGAGTATATTTATCATGAAAGAGCGTGGTATTTTGTCAGATGCTTTTTGTGCATCAAGATGAACATGTGATTTTCCTCCTTCATTCCATTAATGTGATGTAGTACATTGGTGCATTTCTTTTTTTTATGTTGAACCACCTGTATTCTTGAGATAAAACTATTTGGTCATGGTATAATACTTTTAGTATGCTGTTGAATTCAGTTTGCTAATATTCTGTTGATGACTTTTCCATCCTTATTTGTTAGGGATACTGGTCTTTGGTTTCTTTTTGCTATTTGTGATACCTTTGTCTTTGGTGTCATGGTATTTGACCTCACAGATGAGTTAGAGAATGTTCCCTCTTCCTTTTCTTGGAAGAAGAAAAATGGGTGTTAATTATTCTTTAAATGTTTGGTAGAATCTGGTCCTAGGCTTTTCTTTGTTGGAAGGTTTTTT